TGACAAATGCAAAGTCCTGATACAGAGAAGAAAGAAAAGCAGTCATGTAAAGCTATGCTTCTGTCTTTTCTCTACACCTATGGGTAGAAAGAATTTGCACCGTGTGTAACCTTTACTTCCGGTGCAGGGAAAGAACTCCTTGTAAGGATCAGCCTCCATGTTCATACCACAGGACCCAAACAGACTGTGTTTAACCTGTTTGAACTGGACGAAATGTCACAATTTATGTTGAGCCAAGCTATAAAAGCTCAACCTTGTTCTTTGTTCAGGGCTTCGCCATTTTCCTCTGTGTAGGAAATTGGTGAGCCCTTCAGCTGTCGTACTTGCTAGCATTAAAGTGCCTCATTTTATCTAAGAGCCACGACTCTGTGTTTGTTTGGCTAATACAGAAGTACAGGGAAGGCTACCCTCCTAACCCTAGACGGGAGGGGAACCCTTTTTCCCTAATGGCACTCCACTTAGGAAGGGGTAATCAACTGAACAAATACACAATGGGAAATGACTGTCGAACAAGGAGTACTGCAGAAAGGGATCTGGGGTCATAGTGAATCACAAACTAAATATGGGTCAACAATGTAACACTGTTGCCAAAAAAGCAAACCTCATTCTGGGATGGGTCAGCAGGGGAGTTGTAAGCAAGACAGAAGAAGTAATTCTTCCTCTCTACTCAGCACTGATGAGGCCTCAACTGGTGCAACCCCAGCCCCGTCTCTTACATTATGACAGCAATATTTATGAGATCATGACTGCGATATCCACAAAGGTGTGAAGTCACATTCTGATAGGCTGCAAGACAGATGTTTTCAGGTGATTTGCAGCGCCGTGATGGGGATAAGGGTTGGGATCAGGGAGAAGTGATGGGGAGGAGGGGGGAAGAGGAGTGAATGGGGGTGGATCCTCGAAGGGAAGAGGTGGGGCAGGGGAGGTTCCAGCACTCCTGACGGACTGGCCAGTTTTTAATTATGACGAAGTTGACAACCCTACCCCAGCTCCGTCTGTGCTCTGCCCAGAGTCCCTGCCCCATGTTCCACCCTGAAGCCCTGCCCCCACTCGGCGTCTTCCCCCCACCCCTGGCCGCTCGCATGGGGAGGAGGGGGCAGAGAGGAAAGGGCATTGGACAGGTCTGGGGGAGAGGGCAGAGAGGAGTGAGCAGCGGGTGAGGAGAGGGGGGGAGAGGATCAAGCAGTGGGCAGAGGGGAGTGAACAGAAGAGGTGAGTCAGAGACGGGGCAGAGAGGAGCGATTGGGGGTGAGGGCCCCGGTCCAGGTTCTGGGACCCCTTCTGAATGTGGGCCTGGCACCACGCTGCCATTGTAAACCCAGTACTAGTCACTGGCTCTGATCTATCTGGATGGGAAGCATGGGTGGCAGGTACCATAGGCTGGGGGAGGCTGTGCCTCCCCAAACAGCCAGGCCTGGCGCTGCCCACCCCCAGCCCCCAGGCTCCCCCCTTCCCTTGTGCAGCTCCAGTGCCCCTGTGCAGTGGCCCCGGCTCAGGCTGTGACCGTGCCGCTTGCCCTCCTGGCCCTCCGGGGCTAGGGAGGCTGCGGCCATGTGCCACTCACCTCCCCGACACTCTGGGGCGGAGGAGGCTGGGGCCACGCTGCCTGCCCTCCCAATGCTCCGGGGCTGGGGGGAGCTGCGGCCACACACTGCCCGCCCTCCCGGTGCTCTGGGACTGTGGGCCTAGCCTGGGGCAGGGGCTGGTAGTGGCAGTGGGGGGGGATGCTCTGGGCTCCAGTGGGGTGTGTGTGCATGGAAGAGGTGGGGCCTCAGGTGTAAGGGGCGGGGCCAGAGGCTAGCCTCTCCCAGCCTGCTGTTCACGTGCCGCCCATGATGGGAAGGTTGGAGGCAGGGGATTCTGCTGAACAGACGCTGGGGTCTAGTCTGCACAGAAGTGCTACGTGCTCTCTCCCGTCGGCATAATAAATCCATCTCCACGAGCAGCGGTAGCTATGCTGGTGAGGGAAGTTCTCCTGCCAACATAGCGCTGTCCACTCTGGGTCAGTGTAACTTATGTTGCTTGGGGGAGGGGGGTTATTCACACCCCTGAGTGGTGTAAGTTATAGCCTAGTAAGTGGCAGTGTAGACAAGGCATAGGACTCTGAGTTCTGGAAGGTTCAATTTCCAGGTGGGAATTCTCCAGAAACTCATAGCATTGAATGTGAGATCTGGATTCCAGCTGATTTCCAGGGTCCCCTCTGTCCCCCTCCATCCCCTATCCTAGCACCTCTCAACCTGGTGACTTCCCTTGTGGTAAAAGTTCTGTATATGGATGGCAAACGACAACTCCACCTCGGGGTCCCACTGCGGTAACACCAGGATCCCTGACACCACCAGCCAGGTGACGGAGACACAGCCGGGCGGTTAGCTTCTCCATCCGCTGCTCTCACTGAGGGGTTTTGCCTCAAGTCAGGGCCACAAAAGAGGAGGAATCACTTCCCTAATTCACTTTACTTCAGAATCCCAGTCACTCTTCCTTGCCAGGGAGCGGGCAGGAAACTGACAGACCCCCCCAGATCTGAATCCTCTATTACCGAGGAGCTTTGGAAGAAGGACCCCCCAATCTGGAGTCTTAGGGGCATCTGAGGCTGTACAGAGCTCTGAGACATCACAAGAACCATTTCCACCCCCCAGCATCTTTGCCCCTCACTATATGCTCCACACCCTCAGCAGGGCAGCCCCAAGCTTCGAGCAGGGGGTTGGACTAGATGACCTTCTGGGGTCCCTTCCAACCCTTATATTCTATGATTCTAAGCTGAACTGGCTCGAGAGGCTGAACTTCACTCTCACCCAAGAGCTCCTGGCTCCTTTCCACCAGGAATTGTTATTATTAGGGCTGTCAATTAATCACCGTTAACTCAAATGATTAACTCAAAACAAATGAACTCAATTAAAAAAATGAATCGTGATTCATCACAGTTTTAATCGCACTGTTAAAGAATAATAGAATACCAATGAAAATGTATTTTTGGATATTTTTCTGCATTTTCAAATATATTGATTTCAATTACAACACAGAATACAAAGTGTACACAGCTCACTTTCCTATTTTTTATTACAAATATTTGCACCATAAAAATGATAAACAAAAGAAATAGTATTTTTGAGTTCATCTCATACAAGTACTATAGTACGATCTCTTTATCATGAAAGTGCAACTTACAAATGTAGATTTTTTTGTTACATAACTGCACTCAAAAACAAAACAATGCAAAACAAGTCCACTCAGTCCTACTTCTTGTTCAGCCAATCACTAAGACAAACAAGTTTTTTACATTTACGGGAGATAATGTCACCTGCTTCTTATTTACAATGTCACCTGAAATCGAGACCAGGCATCCACATGGCACTTTTGTAGCTGGCATTGCAAGGTATTTACATGCCAGATGTACTAAACATTTGTATGCCCCTACATGCTTCAACCACCATTCCAGAGGACATGCTTCCATGCTGATGATGCTAGTTAACAAAATAATGTGTTAATTAAATTTGTGACTGAACTCCTTGGGGGAGAATTGTATGCCTCCTGCTCCTTGGTTTTATCCCCATTCTACCATATATTTAGTGTTTTGGCAGTCTTGGATGGCGACCCAGCATATGTTGTCTGATTTAAGAACACTTTCATTGCAGATCTGACAAAACGCAAAGAAGGTACCAGTATGAGATTTCTGAAGATAGCTACAGCACTCGACCCAAGGTTTAAGCATCTGAAGTGCCTTCCAAAATCTGAGAGGGATGAGGTGTGGAGCATGCTGTCAGAAGTGTTAAAAGAGCAACACTCCAATTCAGAAACTACAGAACCCGAACCACCAAAAAAAAAAATCAACCTTCTGCTGGTGGCATCTGACTTAGAGGATGAAAATGAACATGCGTCGGTCCGCACTGCTGTGGATCGTTATTAAGCAGAACCCATCACTGGCATTGGTAGTGTAGACATCGCCTCAGACTTGGTGCTTGCCAGTGGGGAGTGTCACCTCTAGAGATACCCAGAGCAGGTGTGGAATCGTCTCAGGCTACTGGGTCGGGGCTCGAGCAGGTTCTGTGTGGTGCTGTTGAAAAGGAACCCCTAGATATTGAACCCGGGCCGTGTTGCTGCCGACTGCAACTGGCAGAAGGGTTACAGAAAGAAGCAAGGGAGAGGAGCACCAGTGAATGTATGCAAATTATTCAGTGAGGCAGGGGCCTGGCATGAAGGAGACACCTCTGTCCTTGGGCGACTGGGGGATTTGTGATGTCCTGGGCCATGGAGATCCAGGCCCACAGCACTGGGATGATCAGCCCAGGGATGGGGCAGTACATGGAGCGAGGCAGATTTGGGAATTGGGAACCCCTCTCCCCAGGTATTTCCCCTGCAGGCTTTTTTCAGTGTCCCTCTCTCCCCTTTCCCTGTGTAACCCAGAGGTTCTCAAACTTTTTGAATTGGTGACTCCGTTCACAAAGCAAGGCACCCAGTGCGCCCCCCCCTTATAAATTCAAAACACATATTTTATATTTAACGTTATTTTAAATGCTTAATGTATACCCTGATTCTCTACTATGGATTGACCTTTTCTCACCACTTTTATATTAACCCTAAAACACACTTTGATTGAATTCCCGGGATAAGCAGAAAAGGGGTTTTTAAGATAGTTACGGTTTAATACTGGGGGTGCGAAGCCATTTCTCAAGATCACTTTTCACAGCAGGCTTTGTGCTCCGTTGCCCCCCTCACTTCTGCGCTGCTGCCCCCTGCAGAGCTGGGCAGCTTGTGCCCCCCCCCGTAATAACCCCCCCCCCCCCAGGGGCTGCAACCCCCAGTCTGAGAACTCCTGGTCTGCCCCCTCCCCCCTCTGGCCGGGACACCGGAGCCCTGTCCCGTTCCCGGGGGGCACGTGCTCTCCCGGAGCCGGACCGGCCCCTCCCGAGGGCAGCCAGAGCCGGGGGGTGGCGGGGGGAGGCCAAAGCGCAGGGGGGCGGGGCGGGGCCGCTTGTGCAGAGTCCCGCCCCCATGCCCGGGGCTGTCCGGGGAGTGGGCGGGGGGCGAGTCCCCAGCCCCGGCGGGCGCGGCACGGGCACAGGAAGGGGCCGGGGCCGCCGGGAGCGGTGGGGGCCGGGAGGAAGGAGGCGGGAGTTGGGGAGAACAAAGAGCCGAGAGCGCCGGGGCCCGCCGGGGGCAGCTCCTGGGAGCCCGGGCGCTGCCGCTTCCCCAGCGGGCTCGGGGCGGGGGGCCCGGCCGGGGGCGCCTCCTCCGGCGAGAGACCCCCGGGCGCTGCTGCTGGCGGCGGCTGCTGAGCGGAGGCTCCAGGTGAGAGAGACCCTGGGGCCGGGCCGGGTCCCGGGCTCTGCGCAGCCCCCGCCCCGGGTGTCCGGGGCTGCTGCCATCGTCAAGGCCGGAAGGGAGCCTTCTCCCAGCCAGCCTGGCCGCTGCCCCGGCCCTCTGATCCCCCTGCTGCAGGAGAGTGCTGCCCTGGGGACGGCGTCAGGGGGAATCCCCCCTAAGGGGCTCCTTTGGTCCTGGTCTTTTCCAGTGTTTAATTCACCCTCTGTTGCTGGGAGGGTTTGAACGTGTCTCCGTGGGTTTAGTCCTGGGGTGCGGGGGGTGAAGGGAAGGACAGGGGCATGGTCTGTGCAGCAATATGGGGATTGAGCATGTTCCCAGCATGGCAGAAACTAGCATGTCTGCCTGCAGGGGAAGAGCCTGGAGGAATTGTGGTGTGAAATGAAGTAAAGCCTGTTCTGAAACCTGCACAACTGCCCTTCTCGCCCGGCCAGGCTGCAGAATGACGCCCACGTCTCGCTCCAGCTCATCCCGTCCTCCCACGGGACAGGGGAGAGAAATGGCTGCTGTGGAGCCAGCTCAGGTAGGGGTTATTGGGGGGGGGGTCCTGCTGGGTTCCTGCTGGAGGGAGAGGGGAAGTAAATACTGAATGGGTGGCAACTTCTGGGGAATGAGGTCTGCAGGGGGCAGGGACTACCCTGGGTGAAGAAAGGGAGGGGGACAGAGTGTGACAAACCTGCTGGGATTTGTTTAACCTGGGCCTAGATTCTAGGAACAAACGCTTGGGTGTTGGGGGAGAAAATTCCCTAATTTATGAAACAGGAAATAGAGAAACCAACCCCCTGGGCAGGGCTGGGAAAACTGACCAGACTTCCAGTGCTGAACCCTCAACCTGCGAGCCAGAGGCTGGTGTGACATGGAAAGGGGGCACCCACCAGGGAGGTGTAGGGAAGATGCCCCAGCCCCTCGCATCCAGCTGCTGGAAGTGAGGAAGGTTTTGGGATTCCTACCATGGGACTGTATCAGCCTCTGACTAGTAGGTGTGTGGCTCTCTCTTTGTGCTCTCACCGTGATGCGTCATGGCTGTTCTCAGCAGTATGGGGATAGGACTCTGCTGACTGTCTCTCTCTCAGAGCTTCTGTTTGATTGGCTCCTTTCCCCCATGAATCATGGGGTTGTGACTGGGGCAGCAGGTACTGACTGTTGGACTCTTTCTCTTTCAGGGGCCGGTGACCTTCGAGGAGGTGGCTGTGTATTTCACCAGGGAAGAGTGGGCTCTGCTGGACCCCGCTCAGAGAGCCCTCTACAGAGACGTCATGCAGGAGAACTATGAGAATGTGACCTCACTGGGTAAGAATTCCCGTCCCCTCAGTTCTTAGAAGGGGAAATGAAAAGTTAACGTTCATGCCATCCCCACAATGCCACCTCTGCTCTGCCCTGTTTCAGCATCATCCCAACATGGAATCATAGAAATGGAAGGGACCTCAAGAGGTCATCTAGTCCAGTCACCTGCACTCAAGGCAGGAATAGGTATTATATAGACCATGCCTGAGAGGTGTTTGTCCAGCCTGCTCTTAAAAATCCCCTATGATGGAAATTCCACAACTTCCCCAGGCAATTTATTCCAGTGCTTGACCACTCTGACAGTTAGGAAGTTTTTCCTAATGTCCAACCTAAACTGCACTTGCTGCAATTTAAGCCCATTGCTTCTTGTCCTATCCTCAGAGGTTAAGAAGTACAATTTTTCGTCTTCCTCCTTGTAACAACCTTTTATTTATTTGAAAACTGTGATCATGTCCCCTCTCAGTCTTCTCTTCTCCAGACTAAACAACCCCAATTTTTTCAATCTTCCCTCATAGGTCATGTTTTCTAGACCTTTCATCATTTTTGTTTTTCTTCTCTGGACTTTCTCCAAGTTGTCCACATCTTTCCTGAAAGGTGGTGCCCAGAAGTGGACACAGTACTCCAGCTGAGGCCTAATCAGTGCGGAGTAGAGTGGATGAATTACTTCTCGTGTCTTGCTTACAGTACTCCTGCTAATACATCCCAGAATGATGTTTCCTTTTTTTTTCAACACTGTTACACTGTTGACTCATATTTAGCTTGTGATCCACTATAATCCTCAGATCCCTTTCTGCAGTACTCCTTCCTAGGCATTCATTTCCCATTTTGTATTTGTGCAACTGATTGTTCCTTCCTAAGTGGAGTACTTTGCATTTGTCCTTATTGAATTTCATCCTATTTACTTCAGATCATTTCTCCAGTTTGTCCAGATCATTTTAATTCTATCCTCCAAAGCACTTGGAACCCCTCCCAGTTTGGTATCGTCCGCAAACTTTATAAGTGTACTCTCTATGCCATTATCTAAATCGTTGATGAAGATATTGAACAGAACTGGACCCAGAACTGATCCTTGCGGAACCCCACTCGTTATGCCGTTCCAGCAGGACACTGAACCACTGATAACTACTCTCTGGGAATGATTTTCCAACCAGTTATGCACCCACCTTATAGTAGCTCCATGCCAGTGACACACTAGTGCTCTGCCCTCCCCTGTTACAGAACGCTCTGGGAACAGAGCAGTACAACAGAAAGTCTAACAGCTTCTCTTAGCTAAGATAATAGTCGGGTTCATCTCTATCATAGCAAACAGACGCTTCCTACCCCTGGCCTGCACTCCCGCACTGAACTTCCTGCACGCAAACCATCTGAGACTTGCACAGTGTTACCACCCCTTTGCCCTCAACCTGACTTTTCCTTTTGAGTCACTGCCTTCACTTACCCCTCACAGATCACTAGACCATATGCTATCACAGTGCTGACAATCCCTATGACACAAGCACACCCTTGGGCACCTTTACTGACAAAGCCTACAACACTCAGCACGGAAATGAGGCAGAATTGGTCCCCCAAGTTTCACACGCACCTCTCTTCAGAGCACAGCCACAGCTCTGCCCAGCTGCTCCAACCAATCCCTCCTTCATCCAGTGACAGCTACAGCTGACCCCGTGCACACAGCTGGAGGGCATGCAGAGAAAAGCTGGGATTCCCATCTGTGAACATAACACAAACACTGACAGGTTCTCTTAGTCTTTCCTCATATTGATTATACGTTCATGGATTTTAAGGCTGATGTGATATTAGGTCATTTACTCTGACGTCCTTTATAACACAGACCATAGAATTTCCTCCCGTGACTGCTGCATTGAGCTGAATACCTGAATTCCTGTGGCAGTTTGTTAAGCTTTGCACCACCCACACAGAACCATTCTCAGCTGCAGGGCTAAGGGTTGGGGGCAAAGTTAAGGTTGCATTGGAGGGGTGGCGTTTACATTAACTTTTCTTTTCCTGGTTTGCAGAGATTTAAGTTTAGTCACCGTCCATATGGTGCAAGTCAGGAGACAGCACTGGGCAACCTTAACTCTGCAGTAATGTAGCTTATGAGCATTTAGTTTCCTGTTTTAAAAAATGGACGCTTTTGCCACTATAGCTGTGTCTATAATTGAGCTTTGCCAGCAGAGCTATGTTGGATGGTGTACATGTGTGTGCGTGCACTTTTTCACAGCCTTAAGCAACAGAGCTGGACTGGCAAAGCTTTTAAGAGCAAACCAGGTCAGAGTCTGCACATGGATTTTAGAGCCCTTGAAAATATGCCTCTTAACTCAGAAATGTTGGCATCAGAGGGCAAAACTTCCAAGAGGAACTCCTGCAGGACGCAAGAAAAATGCACAGCACACATTGTCTGATAGGTATCAGTGCTGGGGTCTCACTCAAACTCATGGGTGGAGCTCAGGTTCAAAGGCTGCAGCATGTTCTCTTGAGCCAATGAATTACAGTGAGGGTACATTGCTGGAAACCCTCTGGCTGTTAAGAAGAGCCTTAGGCCTGGTCTCCACTACAGAGCTAGGTCAACATAAGGTAGCTTCAGTTGACCCAAGTCTGTAAGCATCTACGCTAAAATGTAGTACCCACCAATGTTACTTACCCATTACACCGACTTAATAACTCCACCTCCACGAGAGACATAGCCCGTATGTCTATGTAGTTAGGTCAATGCAGTGTCAATGTAGACGCCGTGTTGCTTACGTCGACTGCTGCTGCCCTTTAGAAACCATCCCACAATCCCCCATGCTGGCAGTTAAATCGGTACAAGCGCTCCTCGTGAGAACGCGCACCACCGACATGAGGAGTGTAGTGCGCACGTGTAAAACCGATTCAGTTACTGTGGTGGTTCTATGTCAACTTAATTCTCTAGGGTAGACTTGCCCTTAGTATTGCTGCATTTCATGGACCTTTCAGGCTCTCTGACTCTTCCCTTTTTCTCGTGCCAATCTGAAATTCCAGCCGCTGCAGTTTATTAGCTTTTTCTATACGGCTTCCCCAAGGAGGTATTGGGTGCCATGGACTAGCAGAGATAAATGCCAAGGGACTGAGATCACTTGGTGGAAAATTACAACCATAGTTTCAGCCCCAGGTTTGTGCAAGACCGTGTTATAGGAGCCAGCTGATAATGTGAAAAGCTGCTTTGGGGAGGGCTGTATCTCAGCAAACTCTTCATCAGGAAGCACCCCATATTTGGGCCATTAATCCTGCTCAGCATCCCCATGATAAGCAGAAAATTTCAAGAGATTCTTAGTAAGAAAGGGGATGTTAGACCAATTAGAATAGCTGATCGTTATGCAGATGTATATTGAATGTTGAACTTTAGCTATGGTAGAACTGGTGGTCTGCTATAATAACTTCCCAAATGTGAGAAGGGTATGGTGTGACAGTCGGGGGAGTGCTGAATCATTGGATAGGAGACAGTGGGAGGTTCCTTCCTTGGGAGTGAGTGATGCGGGTCTGGTGCATGAACATTACTGGGACAGGAATATGGGTCTGCAGAGTCCCAGATGGGTGGTGGTTCTGTGCCACCACCGGGCAGCCTTGGCAGAGCTGCTGGCAATGCACATACTGGGAGACCAGTCACTGCAGGAAGTGCCGCCCGCATGAGAGATGACTGGCAGCTCTTCCCGTGACCTCTGATCCAGGAACCTTCCCATTTAAACCTGGAAAATCGGGAAGTCCTCTGTGCAGCAAGGCAGATCCCTGACCTGTTGCTGAGAGAGACCACGACTTGTTCCTGGTCCTTGCCTTGTCACCCTGCTCTATGCTTCCTGGTGTTTTCAGCCAGACTCTGGCATCTGATTTTGGCTTGACCACGTAGGCCTGACCACTTATGGTTCTCACCACTGGACCTCACTTTTCATGCCCCAGGTGCTGTTAGCAATAGACGCACTCCAACCTTTGAGCTCTCCGAAGGTCTCCCTGGACTGTCCAGCCCCCTGGACACTCCTCATGTTGACAGATTCGCTGCTCCCGAAGAAGCACTGCATCGCAGCTTACCAGTTACCCCTCAGATCACGACGCCATTTAACTCATGGCACTCACATGTATTTCTAGTGAAAATAAGTGAAAGCTTATTTAACCAAGGATAGAGATTCAAGTGGTAGCAAGTAGAAGTCTTGGAAACAAATGGTTACACATCAAGTAAAATCATAACATGCTTTCTAGAATCTAGACTTACCTACCTAACTAGATCCTTTCATATTATAGAGCAAAACCTATGAAAGTCCCTCCAGCATTTTACAGCCAGGTTTGGCTGTGATCCTCCTGTCATGAGACAAGTCATGCTGTCAGTTTGCTTCCATGGCAGAAGATGCAGAGTGTATCTCTGCACCCGCAAATGTCCCCCCACATGCCATTGTCTTCACTCGTAACAGGATCCTGCTCTTTATTTTTTCCCTGTAAATTTTCCTCTCTTCAAGATTTCACAATCTCTTCAATTAGCATTTCGCTGAGTGTACAAACAGGCCCCCATTGTGAGACATACAGTGCCCAGTATGCATCTGACTGGACAGAGAGAGAAAAGTTTGTTACCTCCTGGTTGAAAATAACCTGTTTCAGTCTTTACAAACATAATTTCCAGTATAGATACAAAACTTCTTAAATGTTCTCCTTACACCTCCTCCTTCTCCAATCGCTGCATTGGAGTGTCCTTAGAATGATCCGCCTCACCCCCATTCCAACTTTCTGTTTGTTTTCCACGGGGCTCTGTCCTTGGTCCCTTTTTTTTCTTCCTCTGCACCTTATTTCTGGGTGATCTCACCCTCACACACACATTCAGCTACCACCATCTCAGTTGCTCTTAGCTCACAGTTCTTTCTCTCTACAACTTAAATCTATTTAGTACACAATTTGAAAAAAACATATGAGATGACCAAAACAATGATAAATGAATGATAAAATGAACTAATTGGCTCCATGAAACATGGAGACTCTTCCTTTTCCATCCCCACCTGCAAGAGCCACAGTTTCTCTCTTCCCTGCATGCTCTTTGGATCTTCGAATTTGTCCCTCCTGAAGTTACATGGCCTGATTCTTATTTTTCACTTTCTCCTTTGGCAGAAGAATTAGTCTGTGGCTTCTGAACTATGCCATCTAATTTGCCAGCTTTCTCCACACACGCTGTTTTTTATACTCCCTCCCTTTACACCGGACTCACTAGATTCCCTAATTCCGCAGTATGTGCTTTCCTGACATCTAATGCTGCTGAGATCCTGCATTCAGTGATATCCCTGCCCTTCCTGTTCCTTACTCCACTGAACCCCACCAGCCCATGCTTAGTGTTCCCAGCTTCCCCAGGTCTCTTGCATTGTCTCTGGACCTTTTTGTCAGTTAGAAGCAGTGCAAGGGAGACTTCCCCTCTGTCTGGAGTCTTCACTTTCTGGGACATGCAGTTCCATTCTCTTTGTTTTAGGAGCCTCTTTGATATTGAGTGTCTGGCTGTGTGTGCTCCCAGCAAAGATGGGAATAGTTAAATCCCTCATAAGCGGAGTGTTCTGCAACTTTGAGCACCTGGGGAGCTGGCCCTGCAATTTTATTGGTTTAAAATGGACTGGGATTAAACTAATAGAGTGGTTTTTTTTATGACAAATGTCCTATGAATTCACCTGATCTCCCTTGTTTTCTTTCCCTTGAGCAGGGTTTTCAGTTTCCAAACCCTGTGTGATCTCCCAGCGGGAAGGAGGGGAAGAGCCACGGGTCCTGGATCTCCATGGTTCAGAGGAAAACGAGATCCTGAGAAGTCCTTGCACAGGTGAGGAAACATGAAACCAACCCAGAAACTGTAAGTCCCTGAGAGAAACAGCTGGGATTCCCCCCAAAGCCTCTGTGAGCTCAGGATAGTCCCCAGCAGGTCTTACTCCTGGCTTCCTACAGATTATGACTGACACCTTGGCAGGAGCTCCCTCCCTTCCTACTGAGCATGTGGATGGGATGTGGACAGGGCTGGCCTTAGGGAAAATGGCACCATAGGTGAACTTGCATTTTGGTGCCTCTGGCCCCCATGGGTGTGGCACCCCCACATTGCCCCTGTCCCCCATGGGCTCCCCAGGATCCCCACCCTCCCTTCCCCCCAACCCCTGCACTGTGCCCCCTTTGCCCCAAATGCCTGCTCTCCCTCCTGCACCCCAAATCCCTACACCCCCTTTATTCCTAACTTCCGCCCCCCTCCTGCACCCCAGCACCTGCCCCCTCCTATGCCCCTAACCCCTGCACTGTGCCCCCTTCACCCCAACCCCTCCCCCTCCTCCTGCACCCCAGCATCTGCCCCGTCCTGTGCCTTTAACCCCTGCACTGTGTCCCCTTCATCCCAACCCCTGCTCCTCCTGTGCATACCCCTTTCACCTCAACCTCCACACTCCCCTCCTGCGCCCCAAACCCTGCACTGTGCATACCCCCTTCACCCCAACACCTGCCCCCTCCTGTGCCCCTAACCCCTGCACTGTGTCCCCTTCAGTGCTACCCACTTCACCTCCCTCCTGAGCTCCTAACCTCTGCACTGTGCCCCCTTTGCCCCTAACCCTTGCATCCTCCAGCACCCACTTGGGGAAGCTGACCTGGACGCACAAAGTGGCTAGCATTGCTGCTCTCTCCCCCGCTGGCCTGCTGCTCCTCCGCCCCCCGCCGCCTTAGGGGGCTGAGATGGGGGGAGCAAGGAGCGACATCAGGGCTTCCTACATCCAGGTCACTTTCCCTGCGGGCTGCATACGGGGAGAGCAGGAAAGCAGCAGCTCCTGATGCCTCAGCACAGTCCCGCTAGGGAAGTGACCTGGATGCAGGGACCTCTGCTGTGTGTGTTGAAGGGAGGGTGTAAAGGGGAGTGTGAGTGTGTGCCTGAGTGAGCGCGCTGTCTCTTTAAGAAAGCACTTCAGGTCAGGAGCCTGAGCTAGGCTTGTTCAGACCCACAGATTCCCCTGTCCCATCACCCCAGCTTAGTGGAAATTGGTTACATGGGTGGTGGGGAGGGGGACACCCTGCCATCAATCAGCCCCTGCTACCCCCCTCACAGAGCAGTCAGGAGGACACTCCCAGTCCTGAGTGGCCAGGGATGACTCCAGGGATGAATGGAGGGCAGAGGGGTGGGGGGACAGGCACCCCTACTCTGGAGCCGTCACCTGGTTCCGACGTCTGGTCATCCAACAGCCCCCTGCAGCTCAGGTCTCGCCCCCTCCCCCACGCTGCTGCTCGCCTGCCTGCTGTGATGGCTCCGTCAGCCCAGTGAGCCCCTCGGCAGCAGGTCAGGTGGGAATCCAAACCCTGCACACAGCACCCCCTTGGGCGGGCCACCCATACAGCCCACCCTAAAACCCAGCCCCAGATGTGAAACAGAATTGATCCCCTCCGCTCCCCCCTATGGGGAAGAGTTTGGGGGAATTCAGTCCCTGATTTTTATTTTCTGTCTCTCCAGCTCTTGAGTTTTCTCTCTGCCTTTCCATCCCTAACTCTGAGATTTCCCTTCTATTCTAGCAGGTGATGGGGTGATGAGTGAGAATGAAGAGCAGAATCCCCACCAGGAAGATGCTGAGCTAGTAGAAGTGCATGGGGCATTACTGCAAAGATCCAAAGGGAATGTGTCCAGCCCCCATGAGCCAGGAACAGCTGGTGAAAGTTACCACAGACCAGAGAGAGAGCAGGGAAACCAGTCAGAGAAGAAAGTGGATAAACCCATTAATTGTCAGGAAACTCACAAGGACCTCAAGGAAACTACATCTCCGGCGAAGATCCTCAGGGAAAAGAGAGAGAATACATGCAGCGAGTGTGGGAAAAACTTCAATTACCGCTCTGCCCTTATTCGACATGAGATAATCCACACAAAAGAGAAACCCTATGAATGCTGTGAGTGTGAGAAAAGCTTCAATCATACCTCAGCCCTTATTCGACATCAGCGAATACACAGAGGAGACAGACCCTATGAATGCTGTGAGTGCGGGAAAAGCTTCACTCAGAGCTCAGACCTTTCTACCCATCAGCGAATCCATACGGGGGAGAGACCCTATGAATGTGGTGAGTGCGGGAAAAGCTTCAATCATAGCTCAGCCCTTATCTCTCATCAGAGAATCCACACAGGAGAGCGACCCTACGAATGCTGTGAGTGCGGGAAAAGCTTCACTCAGAGATCAGCCCTTATCTCTCATCAGAGAATCCACACGGGAGAGCGACCCTACGAATGCTGCGAGTGCGGGAAAAGCTTCACTCGAAGCTCAAACCTTACTACGCATCAGAGGATCCACACAGGAGAGAGACCCTATGAATGCAGTGATTGCGGGAAAAGTTTCACTGACATCTCCTCCCTTATCTCTCATCAGAGAGTCCACACTGGAGAGAAACCCTATGAATGCTGCGAGTGCGGGAAAAGCTTCTCTCAGAGCTCAACCCTTATTACACATCACAGAATCCACACAGGAGAGCGACCCTATGAATGCTGTGAGTGTGGAAAAAGCTTCACTCAGAGCTCAGGCCTTCTCTATCACCAGAGAATCCGTAAAGGAGATAAACTCCATAAAAACCTTTTCTAGAGCTGTCAGAAGATTTTTTTTCTTTAGTACTTTTGACAGTTCCCAGGTAGTGACCATTAAGGCTGTTTGCATCTTTTGCACACTGTAGTCCCTCAGCTCTCAAACGTGAATTGCCTACGTTTGAAGCCTGCCCATCTTTGGGGTGGATCCTGTGGTCCTTTCTATCAACTCCATTGTCCTGCGAGTCATGGGAGTGTGTGTCCTTTCTACCAGGAATGTCCATTATCCGAGATAAGGGGTGTCTTCAACCAGCTACGTCGAGGTAAAATCTAACTGGGCCTCATCACTGTGGTTTCCATGGAGTTAGCTAGCTTGAGTTTGCTTTCCTGATGAAAAAGACAGCTATTCTTGCAGTAAAGACATGGGCCATGGATAGGGGGTTGGGTTATCTAGCACATTTCCTCCTGATCTGACCTAACCACCATCACATTTCCACGTCTAAACAAACCTGGAGATTCACATTTATACTCTTCCTTCCAGTGCAAAGTCATCCAGTTCCTCTTTGAGGACAGATTGCCTCATTGCCAGTTGTTCTCACATTACCCTGGATCGAGCTGAAAAGCAGTTATTTTGCTGATTGTTTTTCTCACTTAAAATATATTTAAATATAACAAAGAGCTGGAGCAGTGTCAGGGAAATAAGTGTCATTTCAGACTCTGTGACACTGGAAGGAGACGGGGTGACTCAGATATTCCCTCCTTCCCCATCACCCCAGAACTGTTGCCTCATGTCTGAGCCATGCAGAGTTCACCCCTTCATATTCCTTCACTTCCCAAAGCATCTGGTGAGGTCATGTTCTTAGCTGTCTGTGCTTGTTAATGGTGCTTGGACATCTTTGATCCTAAATCAGAGTCAGTCTGGCAGGAGATGAAAGTGTCACAGGCATGGAAGGGGATTTCAACTGGATCCCAACCACACTTCAAATCCCATTTTCTGTCTATTGGCAAAGCCACTTCTAGGCAGTTTGGCTGTTTTTTCCCCCCATTCTGAAAATTTTGTAAATAACATTAATAAGACAGACTGAGTGAAGCAGGTTTCAATGGATCATGGGGGAATCTCTCATCCTGATTCTGAGACATCAGATGTAACCTACTCTGGAATTTCCCTTCAAATGAAAATGAAAGTGTCTTCTACCTCCCTGTGATATGGGTTTTGTATCTTTCATGAAGGCTCCTTGGTCATATAACTGCATGTTGGTTTTGTTTGACAGAATGAGGCTCAGATTTATTAGTCAATTTCAGACAAATGACAATCATTTTTTACTTTAGGTTTGTTTTTTCCCTCATCCCTGCATGATGACATGGAGAAAATTCAAATGCAGTTCAGTCAACAAGAGAGAATACTCCAAGCGATTGGACATACTATCAAAGAAATAGTCGTGTTTTTAAATCTCCACTCTGAAAAGGTGAACAGCAGCAGATCCCAAACGGTGCAACTGACGAAAGTAAGTGCCCATGATCACAGTGTAGTTCAGTTGTTTAAGTCAATATTGTCTCAGACGATCCAGGGATAGACTTGGAACTTTGAAAAATGCCCAGGTGTTTGGTTCCCAAAGCATTTCTGACCTGGTCCCTACAGGAGGTTACTCCTGAAGAGATCTCCTAGCTAATCCCAAAATTTGGGAAATGCTGTCTGTGATGAGGTGTATCTACCCGGCACTGGCACTCCTAGGGTTAACTTCACCCTGTGGACTGAAGAAGCCACACCCCCTCGCCCTTCCTTGGCATGGTCCGACTGGAGACAGAGTATAAAAGGGAGCAGTTCAGCTCCGCCCGGGCTGACTGAGGAGGAGAGCAAACCTGTGTTGTGGGCTCCTGCTGGGAAGCTGCTCGACCCCAGGCTGCAGAGGCAAGCCGTGCTGAGGCTCCTGCAGACACGCAGTCGACTGCCAAGGATGGCCAAGAAGAGACGCCGGATGCTGGGAGACTACTGATGCTGGAAGTAAGGGTGGGAAGTGGCCCAGGGAACTGGACTGTTGCAGTGAGAGATCAAGCCTGGACACAGGAGTATTGGTTCCTCAAGGCCATGGGTCAGGACCTGGTGGGGTAGGGTGGTCCCAGGTCCCTCTAGACCCTGCACTGCACCCACCACTGGATGCGGTCACCACCTCACGACAACCTGTCTTGACCCAGGGGACAGATTTCTTCACCCCAAATCCCTGCCTTTTTATGCATCCTGCGACAGTGCCATGGGGTTGATACGTCCTTTCTCATAAGGATGTAGATTTGGAGGAAACAGAAGAGGTGTTTTTGTTGAACTCAACATGTGTGGGTGCTATAACTGTGTGTAAGATGAAATCAGTGTTGAATGTGAGATGGCTGCAGAAAAATAGCTTTTTTAATAGAAACCTCATCTCTTGTATCTTACAGAGATTCTGATCCAAGGCCTGTATCTAATCCCTAACCACAACTGTACTCAAGGGTTCACTGGTGGAAAGGGGGATTAAAAGAAAACTAACATTTTTGAGAGGATTCTTTAATCATTGAGTATTTATTGTTACCAATGAAAATGAAATTAAACATGGTTACTCTTTAACGAGGAAGAGATTTAATTATGTGATCAACTGAATTATACGGGAAAAATAAAACTTGTATTGTTTTTCTTTTAGTTAGTAATATAGGAAATGGTGGCTAATCCTGGAAAGCTTCTTTGATGTAACTTACCCCCTTCCACCTAAAATGTCCTCATGTAAAACCTCACTCCACAGGTTGGGGTGGGGGAATGTGCCTGAGAAATAGTGTAGAGGAGAATACTCACAGAATCATAGAATATCAGGGTTGGAAGGGACCTCAGGAGGTCATCTAGTCCAACCCCCTGCTCAAAGCAGGACCAATCCCCAACTACATCATCCCAGCCAGGGCTTTGTCAAGCCTGACCTTAAAAACTTCTAAGGAAGGAGATTCCACCACCTCCCTAGGCAACGCATTCCAGTGTTTCACCACCCTCCTAGTGAAAAAGTTTTTCCTAATATCCTAATTTTTCCTAATACTGACCCAGTATAGATTTTAATGATTTGGATTTCAAATTATTTTGTTTAGCTTCAAAGTCAACTTCTGTGTAGCTATGTTAGCAACAAGAAGAAGGTCAGGGAAAGTGTGGAACCCTTACTGAATGGGGAAGGCAACCTAGTGACAGATGATGTGGAAAAAAGCTGAAATACTCAATTTTTTTTGCATCAGTCTTCACAGAGAAGGTCAGCTCCCAGACTACTGTACTGGGTACCACAGTATGGGGAGGAGGTGAGCAGCCCTCAGCAGTGAAAGAATAGGTTAAAGACTATTTAGAAAAGCTAGACATGCACAAGTCCATGGGTCCAGATCTAATGCATCCGAGGATGCTGAGGGAGTTGGCTGATGTGATTGCAGAGCCATTGGCCATTATCTTTGAAAACTCATGGCGATCGGGGGAGGTCCCAGATGATTGGAAAAAGGCAAATATAGTGCTCATCTTTAAAAAAGAGAAGAAGGAGAATCCAGGGAACTACAGATCAATCAGCCTCACCTCAGTCTCTGGAAAAATCATGGAGCAGGTCCTCAAGGAAAACATTTTGAAGCACCTAAAGGAGAGGAAAGTGATCAGGAACAGTCAACATGGATTCACCAAGGGCAGGTCATGCCTGACCAACCTAATTTGCTTCTATGACGAGATAACTGGCTCTGTGGATGAGGGGAAAGCAGCAGACGTGTTGTTCCTTGACTTTAGCAAAGCTTTTGACACATATCTCACAGTATTCTTGCCAGCAAGTTAAAGTAGTACAGGCTGGATGAACGGACTAGATTGTGGATAGAAAGCTGGCTAGATTGTCGGGCTCAACGGGTAGTGAACAATGGCTCCATGTCTAGTTGGCAGCTGGTATCAAGCGAAGTGCCCCAGGGGCTGTCCTGGGGACAGTTTTGTTCAACATCTTCATAAATGATCTGGAGGATGGTGTGGATTGCACCGTGGATGACACTGAGCTGGCGGGAGTGGTAGATACACTGGAGGGTAGGCATAGGATACAGAGGGACCTAGACAAATTAGAGGATTGGGCCAAAAGAAATCTGATGAGCTTCAACAAGGACAAGGGCAGAGTCCTGCACTTAGGATGGAAGAATCTCATGCATCGCTACAGGCTGGATACTGACTGGCTAAGCGGAAGTTCTGCAGAAAAGGACCTGGGGATTGCAGTGGATGAGAAACTGGATCTACAGTGTGCCCTTGTTGCCAAGAAGGCTAACGGCATATTGGGCTGCATTAGTAAGAGTACTGCCAGCAGAAAGGAGGTGGACAAATTGGAGAGAGTCCAGCGTAGGGCAACGAAAATGATTAGGGGGCTGGGGCACATGACTTACCAGGAGAGGCTGAGGGATCTGGGCTTATTTACTCTGCAGAAGAAAAGAGTGAGGGGGGATTTGATAGACGCTTTCGACTATGTTAAGAGCAGTTCCAAAGAGGCTGGAAGTAGGCAAATTTCAGTGGTGGCAAATGATTTTATTAAAAGGAAAACTATTTGAGGAAATTACTTGTAAAACCTTTTAACCCATTAGACTGTAAGGATCACTGACTTCTCCACTTCTCAAATTTGCAAAGGAAAGGCATAACATCTGTCAAAGGATGTGTCCAGCAGATAGGAAAACTGCAATCATCAACCATCAATATCAAGGAAAAGGCTGAAGTCTGTTGCCTTTCCGGTCAAAAAGCCATCTAATGGCTGGTCTACATGGAAAAGCTATATTGACATGGCCACATGTCTCAGGGGTGTGAAAAATCCACTCCCCTGAGAGAAGTAGTTAAACTGACCTGAGCCCCAGTCTAGACAGTGCTAGGTTGTTGGAAGAATGCTCCCTATGTTTGAAGTGTAGACATAGCCTTAGACAGATTGATCCCCTATGGGAAGCAAGTCATTACATCAATTTGAGGGCTTTTCTCTGCCTTTTCAGTCCCTGCTACAGACACCACCTAACAACTATTCCTGGTCACGGGATGGTGGCATTTCCAGGGACCCTGGCAGCTCTAGCCAGCATCTTGGTGGCTATTTTCCTGCTCAGAGCCACTGGCTTCTTCTCATGCCTTGTCATGCCTTGTCCTGGGGGCCCAGATGTTGCCTGAATGTGAAGGAGCCAAGATGCTGGTGACCTTTCCCTCACCAAGATGCCTTTGCTCATCAGTCTCCTGAACCCCAACTGGATGTGGTTTTTGTTCTTCTGCACAGCATAGCCCATGGAGAACAGGGATCTGCAAATGTGCATTCATATTATACCTTTGCTTATTGATGAAAACATAAACTAGACAAAAAGAAAAGGAGTACTTGTGGCACCTTAGAGACTAACCAATTTATTTGAGCATGAGCTTTCGTGAGCTACAGCTCACTTCATCAGATGTATACCGTGGAAACTGCAGCAGACTTTATATACACACAGAGAATATGAAACAATACCTCCTCCCACCCCACTGTCCTGCTGGTAATAGCTTATCTAAAGTGATCAACAGGTGGGCCATTTCCAGCACAAATCCAGGTTTTCTCACCCTCCACCCCCCCACACAAATTCACTCTCCTGCTGGTGCTAGCCCATCCAAAGTGACAACTCTTTACATAATCAAGTCGGGCTATTTCCTGCATAGATCCAGGTTTTCTCACATCCCCCCCACCCCCATACACACACAAACTCACTCTCCTGCTGGTAATAGCTTATCTAAACTGACCACTCTCCAAGTTTAAATCCAAGTTAAACCAGAACATCTGGGGGGGGGGGTAGGAAAAAACAAGAGGAAACAGGCTACCTTGCATAATGACTTAGCCACTCCCAGTCTCTATTTAAGCCTAAATTAATAGTATCCAATTTGCAAATGAATTCCAATTCAGCTGTTTCTCGCTGGAGTCTGGATTTGAAGTTTTTTTGTTTTAAGATAGCGACCTTCATGTCTGTGATTGCGTGACCAGAGAGATTGAAGTGTTCTCCGACTGGTTTATGAATGTTATAATTCTTGACATCTGATTTGTGTCCATTTATTCTTTTACGTAGAGACTGTCCAGTTTGACCAATGTACATGGCAGAGGGGCGGGCATTGCTGGCACATGATGGCATATATCACATTGGTGGATGTGCAGGTGAACGAGCCTCTGATAGTGTGGCTGATGTTATTAGGCCCTGTGATGGTGTCCCCTGAATAGATATGTGGGCACAATTGGCAACGGGCTTTGTTGCAAGGATAAGTTCCTGGGTTAGTGGTTCTGTTGTGTGGTATGTGGTTGTTGGTGAGTATTTGCTTCAGGTTGCGGGGCTGTCTGTAGGCAAGGACTGGCCTGTCTCCCAAGACTTGTGAGAGTAGCAAACGGGCCCTCCCCTACCAATTGCTCATAAATGATACCGTGCACTGCATGTACTCCCAAGAGTAGTGGCGTTCTGTTATTTTCTTTGTTAGGCCTGTCCTG